GCCGCAGACCCGCAAGGCGAAGCCGGCCTGCCCCGAACGGTATCACGGCTGGCCATGTTGCACCACACGTGCAGCTTGCGCCGCCACCGCTCCAGGCCGCTGCAGTCAGGGCCTCGACGTGGCCCTGGCGCTGGCGCGCGCTGCCGCCCACCGTGCCAGGTCCCACCACGCTGCTGGGAGCTGCGGCCCCCAGGGTCGGCGACCTCCGCGGGTGGCCGCGTGGCCGAGCACCCCCCTCGAGAACTGCCAGTTCAAACCCTGACCCGCCTCACCGCGCCGTGAGGTTAGCTCGTGCACCATGCGCTGGTACGGGCGTTCCTCCCCCTCCCCCTCCTCCTCCTCCTCCTCCTCCTCCTCATCCTCCTCCTCCTCCTCCTCCTCTTTCCCCTCCTCCTCCTCCTCCTCCTCCTCCTCCTCCTCCTCCTCGTCCTCCTCTTCCTCCTCCTCCTCCTCCACCTCCTCCTTGTCCTCGTCCTCATCCTCCTCCTCCTCCTCCTCCTCGTCGTCGTCGTCGTCCTCCTCCTCGAGAGCGAGGGATTGTGGAGCCCCTCGGGGTTGAAGGCGCGCGCGCGAGGCTTTCGCACTGGATTCGCGCGTGTGTATTTCAATGCTCTGTGTGCTCTGTGGCGTCCGCTTCTCTCCCCCTCCTCTCCTCCTCCTCCTCCTCCTCCTCCTCTCCTCCTCCTCCTCCTCCTCCTCCTCCTCCTCCTCCTCCTCCTCTTCCTCCTCCTCCTAAGGAGAATCAATCCATTTGTTTCGTTTTTTGATGTGCCCCCCTCCCCCCCCCAACAAAAAAAACTGGGCGTTTTTTTAGGGTGGGGGGGGGGGCAGAGGACATTCCTCTCCATCCTCCTCCTCCTCCTCCCCTCCTCCTCCTCCTCCTACTCCTCCTCCTCCTCCTCCTCCTCCTCGTCCTCCTCTTAACTAGAATCAATGCAGATTTGTCGGTTTTTGGTGTGCCCCCCTCCCCCCCCCAAAAAACAAACAAACAACTTGGCGTTTTTTTGTTGGGGGGGGGGCAGAGGAAATGCCTCCTCCTCCTCCTCCTCCTCCTCCTCCTCGTCCTCCTTTTCCCAGAATATAGCTTTTTGCTATGAAGATGCTTCGAAAGAAAGAAATACCCCGCTTGGCATTGCATTGGCATTGGTTTGGCCATGGTTTGGCATCGCATTGGCACTGCGTTGGCATAGCACTTGGCAATGCGTTGGCATTGCGCTTGCATGCCGCAAGTCTTGCGCTGGCGGGTCCTAATGGAACCCTCCGGAAGAGGACTCATATTAAAACCCTCTACCAGAAGGATTCCTATTGAAACCCTTCACAAAAAGGGTTCATCCATACTGAAACCCTGCACAGTAGGATTCCATGCGAAGCCCTCCACAAAAAAAAGGATTCCTACTGAAATCTATCACACATGCTTTCCCATCTCGGCATTGCATTGACATTGGGTTGGGACCGCCTTGGCATTAATTTGGCATTGCGTTGGCACTGCTTTGGCATTGCGCTGGTGAGTTCCAATAGCTCCCTTCGCAGAATGATTTTTGTCGGGCCCCACACGAAAAGGATTTCGATTGAACCATTCCACAAGACTGGTTCGCATTGAACCCATCCGGAGCCCTCCATAGAAGGAGTCCTGTTGAAACCGACCACAAGATATTTCCCCCAGGCATTTCATTGGGATTGGGTTGGGGTTGCCATGGCATTGGTTTGGCATGTCGTTGGCACTGATTTGGCGTTGCGCTGGCGAGTTCTAATGGCTCCCACCATAGAAGGATTCCTATTGAAACCTTCCGCACGAAGGGTTCTTTTTGAAAGCCCCCGCCTGAAGGGTTCATGGTTCAACCCTCCACATAAGGATTCCGGCCGAAACCCTCCACAAGAAGATTCCTATCGACATCCTCCGACGAAGGATCCGTAACCAAATCATCCACATCAGTACTTCTGTTGGAATCGGTCGAAAGACTGGAACCACGCCATCGGTATTGTATTGGCATTGGCTTGGTAACGGTTTGGCATCGCACTGGTATTGCGTTGGCATTGCGATGGCATTGCGTTGGCGAGTCCCAACCAAACGCTCCACATAAAGGATTCCGATTGAAGACGTCCACAAGAATGGTGCCTACGGACCCCCCACAATAAGGATTCACATTGCAGTCCTCCACAAAAAAGGGTTCCATGCGAATCCCTCCATAGAGGGATGCCTATTGAAATCCTCCGAAGAAGGGTCCTTCGAAGGATTCCTGTGTGGATGACATCATCCACAGAAAGGGTTCTTAGAAGGATTGATATTGCGCGCTATCACAAGCAATACACCCCCACTGGCGTTGCAGTGGCATTACATTTGGATCGCCTTGGCGTTGGTTCGGCATTCCGTTGGCACTGCGTTGGCATTGCGCTGGCGAATCCTCATGCCCGCCTTCGCAGAACGATTCCGAGCGAAACCCTCCACAAGTAATTTTCCTTTTGGAATATGTAACAAAGGGTTCCCCTCCTTGGCATTGCATTGACATTGTATTGGGACTGCCTTGGCATTGGTTTGGCATTGCGATGGCACTGCTTTGGCATTGCGTTGGCATTGCGCTGGCGAGTCCTATGGCTCCCTCCGCAGAAAGGGCTCCTACTGAACCCCCCACAAGAAGGATTGCTAGTGAAACCCTCCACAGGAGGATCCCTACCGAAACCCTCCACAGAGGCATGCCCCCCCCATTGGCATTGCATTCGCACTGGATTGGGATCGCCTTGGCATTGGTTGGACTTTGCGATGAAACTGTTTCGGAATTGCATTGGCATTGCGCTGGCAAGTCCTATGGCTTCCTCCGCAGAAGGACTCCTACTGAACCACCCACAAAACGATTCCGAGCGAAGCCCTCCACAGGAGGATCCCTATCGAAACCCTCCACAGAGGCATTACAATGGAAATCCTCCGAAGAAGGATTCGTAATGACACCGTCCACAAAGGATTCTGATTGAAATCCACCGAGCGAGGGGGTTCCCCAATTCACATTGCATTGGCATTGGTTGGCAATGGATTGGTATCGCATCGGCACGCGTTGGCCTGGTGCAGGAACTAGACAGAGAGAGACACATCGAGAGAGAGAGAGAACACGAGATAACGATATATCGAGAGAAGCATAGTATCAGGGGATCACGGCGAGCAGAACAATGGCAAACAACATCAAAGTTTATAAAGGTGAACGAGCGTCTCATTCGATAACAACCATATCAAAACGACGAGGGGCTCCACAATCCCTCGGCCTCTCCTCCTCCTACTCCTACTCCTCCTCCTCCACCTCTTCCTCCTCCTCCCCCTTCTCCTCATTCCTCTCCTCCGTTGTGACGTTGCCCAGGCATGAAGAGCGAGCGTGGTGCCTTACTGGATGCATGATAAACCGCCGACGTAGCGGAGCGAGAAACAAATTAGCCTGGCGGGCGCAGTGGAGCGCCCGCCAGGCGGTAAGAAGACGGCTGCAACGCCTCAGCGTTTGGTGTTACTTCGATATCCCTCCCACCGCCACATCATAGACCCCCCATCCCTTCCATAAGTTGGTCCAGGCAGGCCGTGTCTAGACAGGTGATTGCAAACCAGGTGTCTGATCAGGCGACGCTAGTAGGCAAGGCGGGAAAGGAACACTCGAGAAGAGCAGTATGCTATGAATGGAAGGTGTCTGTGACGCTTAAAGTCTGAGGAACAAAATACAACGAGCTGGCCGCGCCTTCTGCTAGGGTCGCGCCTGTGGGTCTGTAAGTCAATTAGTGGCGCCCTGGCCTCCCCTCCTCCACCTCCTCCTCCTCCTCCTCCTCCTCCTCCTCCTCCTCCTCCCCCTCCTTCTCCTCCACCTCCCTCTCGCCCCTCTGCTCCCTCCTCCCTCCCCTCTGCTCTCTCCTCCCTCCTCGACCCTCCCCCCCCCTTCCTCTCCTCCTCTGGGGTTGGGCGCGGTGGCGCCGCGTCGGCATCGGCAGCCTCCCCTGGCGGAGCCACGGGGACAGCTGCAGGCCGACGGCTCAGATTCAGCCCGAAGCGAACGTCAAGAAAGGAGACCCTCCTCTCCTCCTCTCCTCCCCCCCTCCCCGTCGACTCCTCTTCCCTCCCCCCCCCCCCCTCCTCTCGTCGACCCCCCTCCCCTCCCTCCCTCCCCTCCCCTCCCCTCCTCCCCCCCTCCTCGTCGACCTCCCTCCTCTCCCCCCCTCCCCCCCTCCCCCCCCTCCTCCACAATTACACAATGTGAATACTACTCTCCTCCATCCCCTGATGGCATGCGGAAGATAGCGGGCACCCCTTCGCGCATGGTCTTTTACACAGTATTTCCCGGAGTTGGGTTTTCGCTTGGTTGTTTTTCAAAATGATGCTCTCGCTGAGGCGCGGGCTTCATGTTCGGGCTTCCGCTCGTTCCGAATCGTGCTCCCGCTGCAGCGCTGGCATCATTGTGCTCCCGCTGCAGCGCTGGCCTCATTTCCGCGCTTCCGCTCGTTCCGAATCGTGCTCCCGCTGCAGCGTTGGCGTCATTTCCCGTGCCATGCCACGGCATGCAATGCAATGTTAGGTTGCGTTCCGCTGCGCGATGCCATGCCTTCAGCTGCAGCTGTCATATCCAGTGCTTAAGTGCGACGTCGTGCTATGCCATGCTACGCTTTGATCTTCAACGCCATGCTATGCACTGTTATGTTCGGGGTCGCTGTGCGATGCCATGCTTTGCGTTGCAAAATTTTGTGATGCAATTCTTCACTACACCACGCCACTCCATGCTGTGACATACTACGCTTTGCGGTGCTCTTCTACGCCATGCCATGCCGTGCTCTACAATGTGTCGCGTACACTTTCGGGATCATTGCCCTGCTCGACATCCGACTCTGCGAGTAGAGAGGGGATCTACGCCATGGTAAGGGATGGGAGCGAGGGGTAGGATGTCAGATATGACGCGAGCGCACCTAGCTTGTTCTCCTCCCCTCCTCGCCTCCCCTCCTCCCCACCCCTCCTCTCGTCGACCCCCCCCGCCCGGCCAGAGGGCGTGAAGCTCCGGGACGTGAGGGCGAGGCCGCGGCGCGGCCCGCCCCTCTCCGCCGGCGGCCCCTCTCCGCCAGCGGCCCTCGGCGGTGGTGGCGGACCCGGCCCCAGCCCGCGCCACTCGCCCTCTCCTCCTCCCCCTCCTCCGCCTCCTCCTTTTCCTCCTCCTCCTCCTTCTCCTCCTCCTCCTCCTTCCCCTCCTCCGCCCTCCTTCTCCTCGTTATTCTCGTTCTCCTCCTCCTCCTCCTCCTCCTCCGCCTCCTCCTCATCAGCATCATCCTCTTCATCCTCATCCTCATCCAGCCGCTGCGACGGTTCCGACCACCCCTCTTTTCCCGCGGCATTTTAGTATTCTGATACGCGCAGTGAGGTGACCCAGCGGCATCATGTCTCCCCCCTTGAGGGGCTCGCCGCGCCCATGAGCGACGGGACGGGTTACCGCGCGAGGCGCGGGTTCCTCGCCGTGTGCGTCTTCGTTTCCGTGCTGCAGGGCGTGCTGCACGCCAATTACATGGAAGGGGCCCGCCCCAACGACGACATCGGTCGCAGACTCACTCGTCGGGCTTGCGGTTACAACCCTTGGACGGGGGCCACACGGGCAGCAGAGATCTCGACGGAATTCAAACACATGGGGGCAATCATGCTACCAGGCACCTCGCGACGACAGTGCGAGGACACACACTCACTCTTCCTTCTACCGCACCACTGGGGGCTCAGCTTCGGGTGGACAAGGGCCTCCAACAAGAGCTGCGGGGTGTCCATCGACCTTCACACAAAGAGCTTCCTTCGCAACTTCACCCGCAATATCTACACACCGAAAGGACCCCAGTCGGGGCGGTGCCGGGCGGTGCGACTCAAATCACAGTCGGCCGACATTTTGTTCATGGTTATCTACTTTCCGACGCTGCCAACTATGAGAGGAGGTCGCTCTATGTACCGGAGCTTTGTCACCTTTGTCACAGATCTTTGCAGTTGGGCGAAGTCTATCTTGAACAGCATAGGCAGTCGCTGTACCCCTTCACCGGTGCCGACTTAAACGACCACCTCGGCTACAGTGAAGACGACACCCTCGACGGCGAGGGAGTGATCGACCCACGGGCCGAAGCTGGATTTCATACAGATTGGACGTGGGGCCGAGAAGCTGACATACACGTAGGCCCTTGCGGGGCCGAGCTGGAAAGGTTCGCGGGCAAGCTCTGGCATCAGACGTTGAGAGACACCGCCATGCTCCAGGTGAACACACACTACCCTTCAGGACCGACCTTCCACGGCCCCCAGGGCGACTCCTCGAGGATAGACTTCGTTCACGCACCGACAGGCCTTCGTCCACATATACGTACGTGCGCGCCGTGTTTCACGTCCCGCTGGCCGTCGCCTGCAGCCCGCGAACACCCTCGATGATAGAGACCACCGCCCTGTCTTCATGGAGTGCGGGTGCAGCTTTGAGGCGACCTCGGCCCCGCGCCAGCGCTGAAACTTCGACGACATGATGCGGATTCTGCGGCGAGGAGTGTACCACAGCGGCTCAGCATATCCACGCGTCAATTCTGACCATGCCCGAGGACGAATGGGTGCGTCTCTGTTCCCGCCCTACCACAGACGAGCTCTGGAACTCCAAATCGGCGCTGCTGAGGGAAGCAGCGCTCGATGAGTTCTCGCGGCCGTCGCAGCAGGAGGCCGAGAAGTTCGCCTTGGAAAGGCTACGTTCCGAGACCTTCGCCCGACGGAGACAGCTTCGTGAACTATATGTGGGGCGGGAGGCAGCCGTTCGCCTCGACGTGGAGCTGGCGCTCTCCCGCCTCACCTTTCGGATCCGCCAGCTGCCCAGACAGATCACACCGGAGCGGAACAAGTTGCTCGCCGGAGAGCTCCAGGCGGCGCGGAAGGCGCGCGACCACTTTGCCGCGCGGACTCTGATGAGACGGCTCGCTCGCATAGGGCGGGGCCCACGGCGTCGCGCGTACTTCAAGGCCAGCGAGGAGAACTGCGAACCCCTGGACAACGCTGATTTGCTTCGCCTCCCCGCCCAGCAGGGCGGCCTCAGCGCGATCGACTGCGACCTGCAGCTGGGGCTGACCGAACGTTTCGACCGCGCCTTCAGCTGCGACGAAGCCAGGCGGGCGGACCAGTGGCGCTACGACACGGTGCAGATGGTGGACCGCGAGTTGGCGGACACCGACATGTGGGGCATCATCCGTGCGCTTCGCCGAGCTCCAGAAGACGGGCCACGCCCGGCTGGGGCATGCCCTTGGAGCTCTGGTTGGCCCTCATCGGCCCCACCCAGCGGGGCGAGTTCCAGAGAGGTGGAGTCGGCTCGTACCTTACACCGTCCACGGCTCAGGCATTCAAGGGGCGGTTCTCAGACATTATCGCATCGTTCAGGCGCGCGAGCTCCACCCCGCTGATTTTCGACATATCTCGAATCGCGGGCCCGGGCAGTTACAGCAGCAAACAGGGTCCGCCAGGACAGCGATGGATACATATTTTGCGTCCGCTGGGCAAGGCCTGGAATGCGCATCTTTGGAACCGAGCCCGCCGACACAGAGGCGCTTTGCAATGTGTCTGGTCTGCCGCGGCCTTGCTCGGCGTCGGCGGCCTGAAGACGCCATCGCGGCCCAGGCCTGCGCGTCTTGGAGGCGCCAAAGCCTGGGCTTATCTTATGCCATAGTAAACGGGGATGCCGCGAACGCGCTCGCCAGCGCCAAGCGGGACACTATCTTGGACACCTTGGAGGCCCTGCACTTGCCAGAGGATGTTCGATTCCAGCGCATGCGCGCGGTGCAGACGGCGACGCAGGTCGCGGCCCCAGTGGCTCCCACTTCCCTCAGGCCTACCTCGGGTGAGCTCGCGTGGCGCCCGAACCCTGCCAGAGGTTTCCCGTCTTTCTATTTGAAGGGCCTGGATTCTTTTCTGCGTTGGAGGGCGGGGGCGAGCTCGCATACGCACGCGCGGGCTCAGGGGGTCGACGGCGCGTGCGCGGACACGGGCGTCGCGCTGTGCGCGGACGACACCATTAAAACGATCATCACATGGAGAGGGCCCGAACCTTTTTGGGGGAGGGGGAGAGGCGCGGCACCTCGCTGCTCTTGCGCGGGTCAGCAGCAGTAAGCTGGCGCCTTCCCTGGGCAACATAGGCGCGGGGCTCAGCGAGGGCAATCGGGTCGCCCTGGCCGGGCTCTTTGGCAAGGGATGTATAGCGCAGCGTCGTCTCATCCACGCTGGCATTATTCGCCTCTGTGGTTTTTTGGACGTTGCACGCGCGTCCTCGGCGGTTGGCTGACGGCGCAGGGATCGCTGCAAGTGGGGGGGGGGGGGGGCAGTCGACTGCAGGCGGGCCGCGCGGGACTCGATCTCATCTCGCATTTCTCGATGCAGGACGTTCCGCGCAGCGTGAAGAGGATGGCCGTTCTCTCTTATGTCCAGGGGGCGCTTCTGTCGGGGATGGAGGGTCGGGTGCCAGATAGGAGCTGCGCGTCGGCCTGCGACAAGGTCATGGTGAGGGCTGCGCGTAGAGGGCCGGGGGTCAAGGGCACTGCGGAACACGACGGGGTACTCTGGAAGCGGAGCTCGCAGAAGGTCTGGGACTACTGGCAGATCCCCCCCATCGCCGAGGAAACCCGTCTCCGTCGTCTCCGATGGCACCAGTCATGGATGACATGTCCCAGCGCCCGCAGACAAGTACCTGAATGATGCGCCCAGCATGGGCCCCGGTTGGACGCTCCATGAGACGGCCAACCCCTGGGCCCGACAGATCCGCGAGGACCTCCAGTTCGCCGGGGCCCAATCTGAGGAGCTTGCAGACTTGGCGCTAGAGGACTTTCCGCTCTTGGGATTACTCTACACTACCGAGTGCGACGACTGGGCTACGATCGATCTCGCCATTTTCAGGGCCACGTATTTTTCAAAAACTATTGCAACTCCCGCGGGGCCCCAGCAGGCCCCTTGCGTTCTGGCGGTGGAGGGGGAGGAAGAGGAGGAGGAGGAGGAGGAGGAGGAGGATGAGGAGGAGGAGGAGGAAGAGGAGGAGGAGGAGGAGGAGGAGGAGGAGGAGGAGGAGGAGGAGGAGGAGTTCGAGAGCCCCGGTGAGTTCCGCTGCAACCTGAGGAACCCAGACGGGATCACTTGCGGCGACACCTTGAGTAGCATGAAAGCCTTTCTTTTGCACGCAGGCAGAGTTCATGACATTCGTAACAGGGCGGCATTACCCACGGTCACGAATCAGTGTTTTCGAGATCTCCAGGTTCTAAGTACAAGGGAAATGCGCAACGCCACGCGATGAGATCGTACGCCTGCAACCAATGCGCTCCAGGACGTAGCAGCTGCACAGCAGCCGAACTGATCCAACCATTCTCAATGGATTCCCCAGTACGCAGCTACGTGGCTCAAGATCTTGCACATCTTCAACTGCACATTCGCTCCCATTGCGCGCTGGGCGACCCTCGGCTTCCCAGCGCCCAGACCCGAAGGCGAGATGAGCGACGCCAGGGGCATGGACTTAGACGAGCTGCTCAAGAAGCACAAGCGCGCCGAGCCAGAGGAGCCAGGCGCGCCATCAAGAAAGAAACAACACTTGGGGGAAGTGGCTCACGCCGCCGAGGACGGCCTCCAGGAGGTAGAGGGGGCCTTCGGGCTCGCGATTTGCAGCCGGCCATCTCGATCCTGCTCAAGATGGCGTGCGTGCGCGCGCAAGTGCTCAGGGATATGGCGGCGTCGGAGTGGTTGTGCCTTATCATCCCCGCGACTTGCTTCATGGTCGCCGCGGGGCGGTTCGCGGGTGGGCAGTGCGCAGTGGCGGCGAGCATCGTGGCGCCGAAGCCCCTGGTCGGGCCGCCGCATGCGCGCATCGCGCGAGGCGTGTTCGCGTCGATGGTCGGCTCGGAGAAGCTCAAGCATGGGGGGTCTCAGGCTCATGCGGCATTGGCCCTCTTCTTCGAGAAGTTCGTTTTGAGCAGCTCGGCGGAGGTGCTTGGCTGAGTCATCAGGCACTTCCGACTGAAGAAGTGCTACAACGAGGAACGCACCTGAATTCA